ATTATTATTATTATTATTATTATTATTATTATTATTAAGGGAAAATAGGAAAATGATGGCATACAAGCCCGGGCCCAAGCTGAACCATTACCAAGAGGTTTTTGCACATATAAAAAGGAGGAAAAAAGGAGGAAATGGTATCAGAGACCACACACATGTAGATGTGTGTTGTGGATTTGTTGGTTCTAACTTTTAGAGCACCCATTTTACCTTTTTTACTTTGATCTAATTACACTCATTTTGCATTCACATACAAATGTTTAAAGGCTCAAAGCAGTGCCTGCCTCTAGTAGTCATCCTGCTGCAAGTCCTGCTGGAGATTTATAAAGCAGCTCTAAATCCAAATCCCATCAGGGTGCAGGGAAGCTCTTAAAGCATCAAATTTCTCTTCCTTATTTCCTCTGCTGGTAGGATTAAGGTTTCATGCTGGTTTTGAGTTACAAGCCACTTCTGATGTGACTTAAAAAGTCCAATCATTCCTATCTGAACAGTCAGCTGCACCATTTGTTTTCATAAATGTGTTTGTGCACTTGTTTTTATGAAGTTAGGCCATGTTTGATTAATAAACCCAATACATCCAATGTTCTGGTGACAGATGAGGTTTCACAAAAGATTCAAATGTAGATGAGTCAAATCTGTGTATTTTTTCATTCTACTTTTTTTTTTTAAAGCTCTTCTTTATAAATAATTAAAATATCCAGTAGGTCGATTGTTCCATAGAATTTATTTTTAGTTTTCTGAATAATTCCTCCAGATGTTTTAAGAATTTCTTCTTTCCCTGTTTTCATCATCATTTTTGGTAGAATAATGACTGTATGTATTAAAACTATAACAAACAATAAGCCAGCAGAAAGCCCTGAAACAATGTACTTTTGAGGCAAAGTTAATAATATATGCCCTACTAATTTAGCCCTGGATCCCAAAGGTCAGAGAAACCCATCATAAGGAAGCACATCCTGGTTAAGACTGCTGAGTGTATTGAACTGTGTTGATGTAGCAGGGGGTCCTGAGGGTTTGAAGAGGGAGGGGCTGAGGAATGTAGATGATTATCTGCTCTGTCCACATCCACCAAAGAATTAGGGAATTTGAAATACCCCCTTGGCGCCATCAGCGTGGCAGCTGACACGTCTAGCGTCGCAGTGTGGCTAGTAACGGTGCTGGGTGAGATCATACGAGTTGTTCTGTAGAACTGGCTCCTGTCTGGCTAGAATACAGGAAACAAACAGAAAAGCTTTTTCACAACTCCAGTAATGGTGTGGTTTGGCTCAGCATTTGCGGCTCCTTTGGGAGCAATGAAATGCTTGATTGCTGAAAAAGGAGAAACCATGAAAACATCACAGCAGTCTTCAGCCTTTATATAAAAATACTATTTACTTTATACACTACTGTTTTCCATAGAAATGATACTGATGTGAGGGCTAGAGGTAGCAACTGGTTAGATTCATTACATTTAGAAAATACATAAAAAGGATTTGTTTGACAGCACTCACTGGATTGATCAACACTTAGAGCAATGGGAACATCCAAGGATCTCAGTGAAGATCTAAGAAAGAGAATTCTAGAGTTACACAAGTTGGGAAGGTCTCTTGGGCCATTTGTAAACAGCTGCAGATTCCAGGATTATCAGTAATTTGAATGTGTTGCCACTTTGGCAAGTTCTGGAAAAAGAAACTTTCGCCCTCAGATGAGAGTAAATTGGTTAGGATGTTCAGAAACCAAGGCTCACGCCTTCTATTAACTGAAAGCTGCTGGAAAACCAGCGTCACTGTCCACAGTGAAGCTAGTTTTACATGGCCATGGGCTGAGAGAGAGAAAGAAGCCCCTGCTCCAAAAAAATCTAAAGCAAGCAAAACGCCTTTTAGTCACATGAGATAAAGTGACAAGAGGTAGGTAGGTACTGAGGAGTGAAGGTGAGGCTTTCAAACTAAAAAAAATGGACTGACTGTCAAGCATGGTGGTTGTAGCGTCATACTCTGGGGCTGTTTTGCTGTCAGTGGTAAATTGCACAAAATGGATGGAAGAATAATAATGAAGGGCTACCTCCAAATTCTTCCACTTCTCTTCAAATCTAATTACATCAAAAACAGTGCGACAGTTCAAACTTGGTTACTGTTAGTTTGGGTTGACTTGATGGCTAGCAAAAGCATCTGGTCAAGGTGCTGCTTGTTAATAGACATTTTAATATAAGTTGATGTGTATGTTTATTGGTGTCCAAAATTAACATGACAGTCATGTCAATGATGAGGGTATGTAAATGACTTCAAAAATATGTTTTTATTGACAGAAAGATGAGCTGATATATAAGTAGCCATAATTCAGCTGGTTAGATTAACAGAAAAGTTAATACAAATAATAGATTATAAAGAAATTTGGTATAAATCTGGTTATTCTTATTCTTGTTGTTGTTGTCGAATTCTGTACATAATCGATTGTTTGTCCTAAATGACTTCACATACATAACTGTGGCTCCCTCTAGTGTCTCAATGTTGCAACTGCCAGTCGGGCTCCACCAATGACTGTAGAAAACGGTTTTCTACAGTCATTGGGCTCCACCAATATACGTCATTAGTGCGACAGTTACTCTGTGGAAAAAAGACGATTCTGGCTGATTCATTGTAGCCGGGTGGTTTGTTTCGGCTACGACCAGAAAAACAAACTCTTCTGAATACCACACAGGTCTGACAGCAGGTAAGTGGAGGCAGACGTTCAACACAGCTCACAGAAGTCATTAAATCTGATGAAAGGGGATTACTGTAAACAATTTGTTAATCATTTTCTTGTACTAAACGGTGCAGGCTAAGTTAGCACAAACAGGCTAGCGCTAGCATCACGCTAATTGTGTCCGTGAACTCAGCTAAAAGCAGCTTAAAACAGTAAACAAGCTAAAACTATAGTCATCAGCCACAGGCATGTAATGATACATTAACTAAAACATACGAGCCGATAATGTTTTATCAGGCTTATGATGTTGCCGTATTGCGTTTAACGATTGTGGGTGAACTAGCACATTGAAGCTAACTGTCATTAGCCTTTCTGCGGAATATGGATATTTGATTAATTAATGTATTTTTTTGTGTTACTCACAGTGCAGTTTAGCTCATTTTCTGCACACAGAGCTTAGAAATAGTCCGAATTTTCTACTCGAGTTTACTTGTTAGGCCTACGTACACTGTATACATAACGTCTAATCTCATTAAAAACAAAATATAACCAAAATATAAAAATAAAATATGTATAAGGTTCATTTATTTTAATGTTAGCAGTTAAATATAAATTTAGACTTAGGTGATATATAGGTAATCTTATTAATTTGGAGATTGTCCAAACAGAGTAAAATCTAATCTCTATAAGTTTGCTTTGAATAAATGTGGACTCAAGGAACTATTACATATAACTCTTTATCTTCACAAACCGTGTCCTGATCACGACTTTAACAAAGGTTTTTTTTTTTGTTTGTTTGTTTCTGTTTCTCAGTTAACACATCTCAGTATGGACCGGCTGCTTAGGCTCGGAGGTGGAATGCCAGGTCTTGGCCAGGTAACATAAAGATAACCAACAGTATAACTACATTACATAGAAAAAACACCGGCTAAAGGGGAGTGCTTGTCTGCTGCAGGTTTTACCAGATGGTTACTGCCATTAAAATAAATATTACCAGAAAAAATATAATGCATATGCACATTGTATGCTCTAAAAATCTAACTGATACCTGGAATGTGGTGAATAGTAAAAGCTGCTGCTGTCTTACGAAAGCCTGAACTAATAAAAAAACACTGCTCCGCCTCCTCAGGGCCCCCCAACAGATGCACCTGCTGTGGACACAGCAGAGCAGGTGTATATCTCCTCTCTTGCCCTACTCAAGGTAACACCTCTGCACCACATCATCAGCAGTAAATATATAATGTCCATTAAAAAACCCCATCTCGATGACTTTTCATGCTATTCCTCAGATGTTGAAACATGGGCGTGCTGGTGTACCCATGGAGGTCATGGGATTGATGCTGGGAGAATTTG